GCCTTCCCTGCCACAGAACCTTGTCAAACTAGCAGCCAGAAGTCTTTAGACCTTGAGGCAGAAGTGGCCCTTAATGCCCTTTTTGATTGCTCTACCCAGAAATGTAGTGGACAGTTGAGCCAAGACCTATCAGCTATTTCCTTAAATAATAGCTTCCATGAAAATGGAAGTCCCTTGGTAGAGAAGAAACATACTTTTAAGGAAAGTACAGTAACAAAGCAGCACATTGCTAAAGAGAGATGTCAGAAGCAAGGTTCAACATGTGCATTAGAAATTATGACTCAGATTGCAGCTCCGGAAACTAAGAATATTCTTGTGCTGCCAAAACAAAGTTTGACATCCTCTAAGACAGAATCATTGATTTCCAGAAAGCCTGCAGAAGTAGCTCATGATGATTTTGATAATTGGGATATTGATATTTTGGCAGATGATTCCTTTGTAATGGAGATTACCCAAAACCCTGAACTGATTAGTACTCCTGAAAAAGCCTTACCAGCTCTGAAAAAGCCAAACACACACGCTCTCAGTGGCTTTAGTAAAACTAAGGAACAGACAAACACTTCTAATTCTGTAATTGGTGTAAGTTTTTCATCCAAACCCCAAAGTATTGAATATGCACCTCTGAAACAAAATAGTAAAACCATACAAGATGCTGCAGAATCTCTTTCTTTCCAGAAACCAAATAATGAGATGGGAAATTCAAAGATACAAACTGTTTTTTTACATAATGAGCATGTTGTTAAAACTGGTAAGATAAATTCCACTTGGAAAATAGACCAAAACAAAGTTTCAGACTCTACTTCTCTTATTCCAGTGAAATCTGATATTAAGACTGGCAAGGAACAAATACAGCTTAAATGTGGTCCCATGAATTTTCCTGTAAAAGCATCCTCCTCTGCCTTGGTACACTATAATCCTCATAGAACACACACTGAAAAATATGGAAATAACAAATCGAGTATTTTCCCTCTGTCATCCATTTCTACTAATGCTAAGCCCAATGATCAATTGAAGGTGATGACCTGTACTGGTGTGAGTAACCTAAACCAAGCTGAAATGCCAAAGAAATGTCCTGTGTCATTTAATGATTGGAATGAGCCTAAGTTTCCTGATGAAGTTTTAGATATGTTTTGTGAATCTGATAGTCTTTGGGACACAAACTGTGAAGATGATGATTTGTTGTATCAGGTGTGTGATGATATAGAAAAACAGACTCAGAACCAAGGCATTAAACAAGAAAATGAAATGGCAGTAATAAAAGGAGCCAGTGTTACTTCCAAATCCGATTCTGATGATCGCTTCACAGCATCTGAACAAGGACTGTTCAATCACCCATTGGCACAAAAAATCAATGCTAACCAGGACACCATTTTGATGGGAAGACTTTGTACAAATTCCTCAAAGGTTACCGATGGATTAACTACATTTGGAAATATAGTAGTGAACTGTATAAATTCTGCAAATCCTATAGCTGTAATGGCAAGTGTTCCTACACAGCACAGGTATACCCATTCCCAAAACTGTAATAAAACTGCTTCTGTAAATACTGCAAAGAGTGTTCCAGGAAAATGGTATCGGTCTAATTCTGTGCCTGCAGGAAGTCTCAGTTCTGGAATTGGTCCAGTTAACATAACAAATCCATGTATGAGTGCATTTAACAGTAAAGTGTTATGCAACCGAGATCTTTCACACAACACAGGAAAGGTACAAAATAATAATTGTATGATAAATAGGTCAGTTGTGCCTTCAAAGTTTTCATTTAAAAAGATTAACAATTCCCAGGTTGCTGTTCATGTAGATCCTGAAAGTATACGTATAGGAGGCACTTCTGGAAACAGTGTTACTCAGCAGAGTCTGGAAGTAAGCAAGAATCAATTGAATGTCCCTTTGCATGGGAAGATTGAAATTAATCAGAAGCTACCTTTTAAGAGGCACCTTTCAGACTGTCTGGCAGATTCTACAACAGGTATGTTTCCTTTTTTAATTCTACTAACCTGGTGGGGGTTGGGAGAGATATTAAATCATGTCAGACCAAACCGAGTACTCTAAGCTTTGTATGGAATTTAGATGTTATTTTTATAAATTTAAGTATTTGGTCCTCTCAAACTAGGCTTGATGAGACAATTTTAAAATAATTCTAACTCTTTTTGGGCAATGAAATTCTGTTTTGAAAACCTCTCTCAACTTACTTTATTTGAAGGAATGTGTTCTCTCCTCCCCATTTTGCCGAAGTACTTGATCCTCCATATAAGTGCTCAGAATCACTGTGGTCCAGTGTGTCTTGATGACACTTCTGGACATACCCTGCTAAATGTTCCCTTTAATCTTTTCTATCCATATGCAGATTTTTTCATATCCATGTGCAGAATACATTTTTATGTGCACCACCAGTAGAAATCCTAAATTTGGGAGTTATGCTTCTCCGAATTAGGGATGTGAAGGACTAGTCAACTGTTCGAAATCACTGTGGTCCAGTGTGTCTTGATGACACTTCTGGACATACCCTGCTAAATGTTCCCTTTAATCTTTTCTATCCATATGCAGATTTTTTCATATCCATGTGCAGAATACATTTTTATGTGCACCACCAGTAGAAATCCTAAATTTGGGAGTTATGCTTCTCCGAATTAGGGATGTGAAGGACTAGTCAACTGTTCGATAAGAAAGGAAGAGGACGAGATATTTCGAAGTCGTAGTGCCGCTTGAATCCTAGGGCCAGACCCTGGGCTCCATGCAGAGCTGCTGCTTTGAAGTGCTGTGTGCAGCCTGGAGCCTTCTGGGGTGTCCCCAGGCTGCACACGGCATTTCAAAGCAGCAGGCGCCACGTGAAGCCCGGGATCAGCTGGGGACTCCCCCACTGACCTCGGGCTGCATGCGGTGCTGCCACTTTAAAATGCCACAGGGAGCCCAGTGTCAGGCTCTTCCCGGTGTTCCAAAGCGGCAGCACTGCATGGAGCCCAGGTCTGTGGGGGGAGTCCCCAGCTGATCCCATGCTCCAAGCGTGCTTTCGTCTTTGAAGTGCAGCAGCAGCCCTAAGGCAGAATTCTCCAGATTCTCAGAATTTACTAAGAATTCTCCAGATACTTACTGATGCTCTGTCTTTTCCCTCCTTCCCCCTCCAATTTATTTCGAGTGTTCACATCCCAAACTCGTAACTCTGTTCATCTGAAGAAGTGGGCTGTGCCCATGAAAGCTCATGATACCATCTACATGTTTTGTTAATCTATAAAGTGCTACCAGACCATTCATTGTTTTAGAAGTGTATAGTGTTTGGCAAGTAATCTGTCTAGAAACTTGTACGTACTTTTTTTACCAGCATATATAGTTGCCTTAACTGTTTTTATGCCCTTTGTCTTATTTCGCTAATGTGAAAGACCGTGTATTCCCAGATGTGTTAATAGGCAAAAAATCTTAGGTGCAAACCTGGTCACACTGGGGAGGTAAAAAGTTCTTTAAAAATATAACCATGTAACTGCTAAAAATCCTGGCGGTTACACATACTGCAGGCTCTGCAGTAAAAAGTTTATATATAAGCTTTATATTACAGAGCCTGCAGCAAAGCTGGCTCTCTGGGAGCGGGGCTGAAGGGGAGGCTTCACGGTTAGCCCGGCTACGGGGAGCCAGCATATAACCTGCGGTGACAAGCAGGGTCAGGCCTGCCACTGGCTGTGGCGGGCCTGGAGCAGTCCCCTACATGGGGTGGCCGAGGAGCTGCTCCTGGTGAACTAGAACCAATAAGCCTCATCTGTTAAGGGTGAGGAAAACAGTTAATTGGTTAACCATTTACATCTCTAGACCATCACATTGACTTTAGTGGGAGTTTTCATTTGATTTCAGTGGGGCCAGAATTCTAGTGCATGCTGACTTAGCGCTCTATAGGAAAATACATAAAATGTTATGTTTAGCTATCATGACCCTGTCTCCTGTTTTTTGTTGGTTTTGACAGTACACACACAAACACACAAATCTGTTGGACTCCTGAACTATAGCTGACCCCCATGTCTTTCCAGTATGATACCAGTACCAACTTGGATTTTAGAGCTCTTTCCTCTCTAATATCCATAACTTTCTTAACCCATTATAGTCTCTATTTATTCTTGATGTCAGGTTCACTTGAAGGGCTACAGTAAAATTTTCTTTAAGTAAATGTCTGCTTCCTAGTATACTCGGTAGTTGGTAGCCTTCAGCAGCAATGCAAAGGTCATGCAACTTTCCAACTCCTGCTTTGAGGATGAACTATATTAGTATATAGGCCATTTTTATATGTGGGTTCCTCATTTGTCAGTATAGTGTATTGTTACCATTTATCTTCAGACACTGAAGATATAAAACTAAAAAATACATGCTGGCCAAGATTCAAGGCCCCTAATGAATATTTTATATTTTCAGCATTTGTGGTGGAACAGAAAAACAGAAAATGTTCTCAAGAAGAAATTGAAAGGAAAAAACAAGAAGCTCTTGCTCGAAGAAAATCCAGAATGCAGGCATTTCTGAAAGATACTTGAATTTGGTTTGGATTTTTTTAGCATTTTAATTAGCTGGGTAGGAAAATTATTGTAATAAAGACTGAGCCATTTTTTAAAATTCTGTCTGATATGCCTCATTTTGGTCTTTACTTGACTTCTGTATGAGAAACTAATGCTGCACTATACATTAAATTTATTAAATTATGAAAATAGTTTACATTTGTAAACAATTTTCTCTAAGTAGCTTAACAGCCATCGCAATCAAGTTCAATGTTGTGTACACACTAGTGGTATCAAGTGTTGCAATTCTGAGGTTTTGAAATTCATATGAACCATATTTAAAGTATTCAAAAAAAAAAGGATAGCATAAAATTAATTCACAGGCTTCTATGTCTATTTTTTCCTCAATTAGAAAGAATTTAAAAAAAGTAGGCTCAGATGTTGATGTGTGCATTGATTATATCATTGTGGTTCTCAAACTGGTTTTGGTTAGCTTGAAACTAACCCATAGAGATGAGCCTAAAAATTTAGCTTTCAAATGATGAAGTTAGAGCTTGCTGATTAGAACAAGTTCAGCCATCAGAAAATTAGTGGAAATGCACATGACCTGAAGAGTACATTGTCAATCTCCTTTTTTTTTTAATGGTGGAATAGTATCTTAGTGGTAAAGAAAAAAATTAATTCAGCAGCTTGCTAATCAGTAAAATTGAGATGATGTACTATAAAAACAGACTTTTTTTATTCCTAGCAATAAGCGTAGGATGTATTTTTTTTTTCCTGGTTACCATTTCAAGTTCTTGGCTACGCCATGGATTTTTCAAAAACAAGTATTACATGATTAATTAAGATGTAGCTAATGCCACTTTGCTGAACCATCACCAAATTGTAGACAAAATAGAATATACTGAGGCAGATCCTCAAATGGCATGAATGGGAACAACACGTTGACCTCATTGGAATTACAGGTGGGGTTTGAGGTTTGTGGTGGTTGTTTTTAATGATCTGGCCTGTTGTCTCTTTTGCAGTTATTACTTTATTTGGTTAAATATGATTTACATTAAATACATAATGCAGAAAATTGTACTATAGCTGCTTTCATCTGTTCACTATTAAAATGCCTGAAACTTCTCAACTATTTTTAGTTTGAGAGAGATTTTGGTGTAACCCTTGGTCAGTGAAGCTCTTAAACATAATGTATCAAATGCTATATTCTTTATATTCTTCCTAATTTGACCTGATGACCTTGACTGTGAAATTTTGAAGCTCTGTTTCAACAGTGATACATGGAGAACTAGTTCAAGTTGTAAAATTACTTGTGATTAAGCTGGTAGGCATTTCACAGCAGACCACTGCTTTCCGTTTAAAATGTTTTAGTATCATAAGTGATACTATAAACATTATTTGGTTATCTGGTTTTGTTAATAACTTGCTGAGTGCTGCTAAAGGGTCACAAAATCTTTATCTCCTGTACACTGTGTTTTTGGTTTGTAAAACTTACAAATGTAAATATTGTATATTTGTGAACCATTATTAAACTTGCCATTTTTACATTTAAGTATTCTCTTTTGTTCTGTAAAAGCAAGTAACTTTAATGAAGAATATACCCAAGTATGGAAAAAAAGGAACGCTGGTCTTGTGGATATAACACTGGCCTGGGATTTAGGAGATCTGAATTCAGTATCTGATTTTTGTCATTAATTTTGACTCCTTGGGCAAGTCACTTAATCTTTCTGTGCCTCAGTTCCCCATCTATGAACACTGGCATAATGCTTCTTTTGTCTGGTCTGTTTAGACTATAGGCCAGGAATGTCATACAGGCTTCTGCCAGGCCGCATGTGGCCTGATCAAAATTTTTTGCGGCCTGTCACTACATTTTTATAAAAGAATAAAGTGCGGCCCACTGGCCAATCAGGGTATGTCTACACAGCAAAGTTATTTCAAAATAACTTTCCTAGCGTCTACACAGCTAAACAGCTATTTCGATATTAATTCGAAATAGCAAAGCACTTATTTTGAATTTGGTAAACCTCATTCCATGAGGAAAAGCACCAAATTTGAAATACTATTTCAAAATAAGTGCTGTGTAGACACTTGTATCGAAATAGGGGGCCTCCAGCCTTCCCAGGGTGCCCTGGTGGCCACTCCAGCCTCAACCAAGAACATTCCTTTCCCTCCCCCCACCCCAAAGCCCTTGGGTTGATTGGTCACAGGTGCCTGTGCCAGCTCCACGCCTGCCAGCCCAGAGCCAACAGTCACTGCCCCGACCCAGTGGCCACAAAACATGAGCCAGCAAGCCACTGGCAGCCAGCCCACCACTACTCCCCAGGAGCAGTCTGCAGGAGCTGGTTCCGGCCAGTCTTAAATGTGATTGAGTCCTCTCAGTGTTTATGCACTATTTTGAAATACCGAAATGTTATTTCGAAATGCATTTTGTGTGTAGATGTGTTATTTTGAAATAACTATTTTGAAATAACACTAGTGTAGACATACCGTCAGAGCACATGGCCGAGTGCAGATCATGGCCGGCCGGCCGCTCGGAGCACAGCACCGCAGTGACTGTTCACGGCCAGCCGGGGCACTCCAGAATGTGCTCACAGCCAGCCAGGCCTCTCTGCACAGGCATCAAGCGCCTGCTCACAGCTGGCCACTATACTCATGCTGCTCCAGTGCCTGAGGAAGAAATGTGTGGTGGCGGCAGCAGCAGCTCCGGGATCCAGGCATTAGGTTAGGTTAGGGAGGGCTGGGAGTGCCTGGCTTTGGGGAAGGGGGAGGCATTAGGTATGGAGGCCCTGGGGGGGTGCCTGGCTTTGGGAGAGGGAGGAGGCATTAGGTTGGGGGGCCTGGCTCTGGGGGAGGAGGGGTAGCTCCTGGTCATATGGGAAAGGAATAGTCAAGGTTGGAGGAGTTTTGTTTGCTGTAAATTCATCACCAGAAAAAAAATATTGGCTTTCCCAGCATAAAAGAAATGCACCGTAAAGAGATTTTATTGTGAAATCTTGGTATGGGCACCAGATTTAGTTTTGTGTGTGTTCATTCACTTAAGGCTTGAGGTATGTGCTTACCGCTGTTTCATTAATCTTTGCCTTTGGATTGGCCTCTCCTCCATGCATGGCTGGGTAATATTCTCCTTAAATACAGATGAAGAGGAGCCATTTACTGCTACAGGTTGAGCCTTTCTCCTCCAGGACTCTGGTACAGCAACATCTATGGTCCAGAAGGACCATGGATGTTGCTAGACCAGAGAGCCTCGGCTGAAGAGGTTGAGAGTGACAGCCAGTGTGGTCAGTGGCAGCCTGCAGGACCAATGACCTGAGGAGAGACTGCCACCCAAGTGGCAGAGAGGTGACAATTTGTGCTTGTGATTTACAGCCACTCCTTTTCCCTCGATCAGTGGATTAGGCACCTAAGGGTATGTCTATACTGCAGCTGAGAGCGAACCCTGCAACCCAGCAAGACAATCATTCTAGTGGAGATCTACCTCATGTGCTAAGTAAAAGGCTGTGTCATTGGGCTTTGGGCCTGTCACCTGAGCTCGGGCTCAGGGTCTGTGTGAAGCTAGAACCTGCTAACTGGTTTCTGAATGCTGGTGTGGCTTAGGCAGGAAGTGGGCATTCAGCCACCTGGAGCAGCAGAAATACAGGCTTCCAGGGAACTTTTACAATGGAAATTTAGGTGCTGAGGGACTTCAGATACCTAGAGAGTTAGGCAGCAGCCATGCACAGGTTTTATCATTCACAACAGTCACTAAAACTAAGACTGTACCTCAAACTGGACGTTAGGCACTTACGTCTTTGTGGCGCTGTCCTTAAGACTGAGGAAAATAAATCCTTTTGAATGTTATTATGTGACTAGTGCTTCTAAATTCATTTGATCCTTTTAAATGTCTCCCCCTAGAATTAAAAAAAATAGTGTTTATTGAGACCTGGTCATCATGTTATAAAGTCTTAAGTATTGCTGAGGGGGCTAACAGAATTGCTGAGCCTCTGGACGAGATGTGGGGGTAAGTGTGGGGGTAGGTGGCAGATTAGCATATTGCAGTGCTTCATTTGCATAATTAATTAGGGGCCATTTTTGTGCAAGAGGTTTCTGCGCAAGAGCCGTTCTTCCTCATTTTTTCTTCTGGAAGATGGGGGAGTTGTGCAAAAGGCGCTGAGTAGACGGTTCCTTTTTGCGCAAAAACCTCTTGCACAAAAACCGTTCCTAATTAATTATGCAAATGAAGTGTAGCAATGTGCTAATCTTCATTTCATTTGCATAGGCTTTTGCAGAAGAAGGTAGCTATGTAGACATAGCCCTTGTCCCTTCCTGTCGCTGTGCCTGGATATTGGCCACTGTTGGAAACCATACCATGTAGAACATTAGCATATGCAAATATGACAGTTCCTTGACTTTTACAAGCTGGCAAGATATTCATATTTCATGTCCACATTTTTGTGAATCTGCTACATACTTTTAATTCAAACATTTTTGAATATATAGTTTCTTAATAATACCTATGAGACTGGGAGCATTGCTGGCAGAGCACTCCCTTTTTGAACTGGTATGCCATTTAAAAAGTTATGCTGGCTTTGCAATGGTTTGTGATCCAGTCATTTTCCCCTTCTGCCTATCCAGCTGCTTATAAGAAGTTAGCACAATGCAGAGAATTTGCAAACTCCACAGGAAAAAACACCCATAAAATGTAAAATATAAAAACATAAAAATATTATAATATAGGCCTAGATTGTTGTCTGTGGCCAAGAAGCACACAGGATAACTCAGCTCCCAGGTGTGTTGTTGGGTGAAGGTAAAACTACCATTAGATAGTCTCTGAGCAACTCTGCACCAGACCAGATCCCAGTGTAAGAGCAGTCATAAAATTGCTGTAACTTGTACAGGCTGCCTATAGTCTTGGATTGATACAGCAGTTGGGACCCAAGGAAGTACTATCTGTACTTTGCTTTCCTCAGTTCCATCCCCTTCACTGGCCATAGAATAGGGATGTTGCATAGTAGCCACAGTGCAGTGTTAAATCTAGTCCGGTTCCCTGTAAGCTGAGCATTTGGGCAGCTGCCCAGGAGAGATTCAGATGCCGCCCAACCAACTGGCAGAGTGCCAACAGCCAGCAGCCTGTTTCTACTGGTGGTGCACATCAGCACATGCCTTGGTGCACATAACATTTATTCTGCACACGGATGGAAAAAGTTAAGAGGGCACATTGTTACTGGTGGGAAGTCTGCGGCATGTCGGGGTTCTGTCTATGGCTTGCAAGGCATTTTGTTTCCCAGTGCTCGGGTGCAATTCTGCTAGTTGCCAGATTCTTCTGATTTCCATTCACATAGTTTTTTTCCTACTGGCATTAATAAAGTGACACGCATGTAAAGCAAGGACACCTGAAGTGAGTGAGGGGCATGCTGATTCCACACATAATTGACTGAGAGAGCCATGTGTTCCATTTGCATCCAAAGTGCTGTTGCGGTTCACCCCACAAATTCAAGATACACAAGTGCAGTTAGCAAAGCTACCCTATCCCGGGAAACCATCTTGGTTACAAAAGTCTTGTAGTCCACTCAGATGGAGGGCCATTCATGCAGCCCACTTGCTAGCCTTGGTTGCCATTACTGATCTAGCCTATTAACTTCTGAGTTGCATTACTCACTGATAAACTCTTGAGTGCATACCTCTAATATAATCTCCATGTGTCAGTTTCTATCCTGTAAGATTTGTATTTAATAATGTTTGCAATAGACAATTCTTGATTAGTAAAGTAGCTACATCATTTTAATTAATTAATGCGCATGTACAGAAATTTGGTATTTCAATAGCTGATGCATCACTGTGCAGCCACATTTTCCTCAGGGCGAAAAGACCTATACAAAAAGTAACAACAATTTTAAACACATTCCAAATTAAATTATGACCGTCATGTTTCATTATAAATCAGTTTATGACTTTGCTTAAGCTCTCATCTTCATTTCATTCTGAGCATAATAATTTTTGATGCAAACAGAGTAGTCAGTTTAAATTTCATGTAAATATGCAGATGTATATAGGATTCTTATAGAGTGTTTTGGTTTTTTTTATTCCAGAGACCAACTAATCTTGTTGAGTCTATCATCTTCACTGCTGTATCCTTTGGATTTTTTGTGTGTGTGGGGGTGGGGGGGAGGGGAGGTCACTAAAGCAGATTTTTTAAGACAGAAGTCTATGAGCAGTTAAGAAATTCAGTTAGTAGTTCTACCTCTTTTACACCATGTCCTAATTCCTGCTAGTGAAGTATCTTAATTATGTTTAACTTAACACAGTGAAGTAGTTTACAAATATTGCTTTTTTGTTGTTGTTGAATTGATGGGGTCAGGATTTGGCACCCAGGAGCTCTCAAATCTTTCCTGTAACACATAATTAATCTTGAGGCTGCCATCCAGGAATGGCAGGGTTATCTTTTAACGTGTGTACCATTTATTACCTATTGAGCTTTATACCCAAAGAATAATATTAGATACATTCTTTGATTATATCTTCTAAGTCTAAAAAGAGCTGTGATTTGTCTGGAAAGAA